GGCCGCACGCATGCCTGGCGGGCACGCTACCGCTTGAGCCACATCCCCAGCCCAATCATAAATTTTAAGCAATTTAGCAAGACCTTGGGAGTGTAGCTTAGTGGTACATTGTCCCTGGGTTCAATCCCAAGTGCTGAGGGGGGGAAAAAAAGCTGGGGCAAGTAGGCAGTCATTCAGTAAATCTACAGGAGATGGGAGTTAGAAAACTAAATGAAGGAAGGATCATTGGACTGAATGTTTACATATCTGTAGCAGAGAAAAGGGTAAACCAGGTAAGGGTCAGCTGACCCAAGAGTGAAGAGTGAAAAGTTATTCTCACCAGGCAGGCACAGGGCCCTCAGCTTCATGTGGGCAAGTTGGATATCTGCAAGACTAGGCAGCTCATCCATAGTGTCTACCAGGACGACGTCAGAATGCCCAGCCTGGAGCATGAACTCCACTGCTCTGGAGGGGAGGAGTCAGAAATTAAGGAAAGGAGTCTTCCCTGAACACCTAATCCATGAGTCTTCTCATCAGGCCCCCCCCCTTACCTGATATCCTCCTTGTTAGGGTCACTTGCTGTATAGAAGCCTCCACAGCGGAGAAGATCACTACCCCCAGGGTGATGCCAGGACAGGCGCTTTAGATGGATGTGAAGGATGACATTGAGGGAGAAACACTAATCCCAAACTATCCTTGTCCCCACAATGACCTCACAAGGGTCCCTCCCTCCACATTGTCCCCTGACTTTCCATGACCCTCTAATCCCAAATATTACCCTATCCCCACACTGACCGGTCCACGGCCCTGATGGAAGTGTCCAAATGCTCTCCTGACCTCACTGTCCAGAATTCGGCTGGGGACCCAGAAGTAACGGGGGAGGCTGTGAAATTGAAAGTGGTATCACAGCTGTAAAGCTGATACTACAAGGAAGCTGTTTTGCAGAGACATTCCAAGGGATCTCAGGTTTTAAGAACAAGGAGGTAACACAGATAGCTTTGTAGAGAACCTAGGAGACTGGAGTTTGTTGGAATTTCTAGCTTTAGAGGATCTGAGAACTATAGGAAGATTGGAAGGGCAGCAGGGGTTGCAGTGGACCAGAAGATCACCTGGTAGCTACGTCGAACCTCTCATTGACAGTGCTAACCCTCCAGCCTTTTGCTCCCTGATTCTTCCGCTCAATCTCCCAGTCTTCAAATGTCTCCAAGAGAGGAATAGGTGGTTTCCTGGAGCCAGAACCCTGGCCTAGGGCAGGAAAAGACAGAGGGGAAAGAAAAGGAACCAGACACAGTTTCTCCGCTCTCTTTTTGTTTTGGCCAGCCCCTGCTGTTTCAGTCTCCTTACCCTATGGCACCCTTACTCACCAGCCTTGCTCAGGGCTGCTCCTGCACACTGCTGGGTGTGACTGCTCTGAGCTCTGGCTTGAACAATGGCCATGGTCACCTATGGAGGAAAGTACATCCCATCCTTTTGTCTTAGATTGAAGAAGTGAAAAGAAGGAAATGGGGCCCATGCACTCCACTGTCTTTATCAATAGTGAACAGCAAAGGCAGTCCCTAGAGGAGGGCCTTCCATAGGTCATGGGAACTGGGGTCAGGAGAACCACAGAATGAGAGTATCAATTCTGGGAAGAATCTTAGGAATAATATCATCCTACCCTCCCATTTTTCAGAGGAGGAAACTTGCCCACAGTCAGACAACTGGTAATTGTCCCTTACTCTCATGACACTATCATTTAACACAGCCTTTTAGCTTCTTCTGGAGGAGAGGATCAAGAGGAATGATGAGAGGGACCCTGGAGGATGGGGAAGTACTGGGACTTGCCAGGGAGAGGATCACCATATTCTAAGAGGCGAGATCTTTATTTAGGGGCTCCTTACCTGAAAGGCTTGAGGCTCTAGTCCTCCAGCCTCAAAACCAACTCTGAGCAGCCGGAAGTCTTGGCCATGAATCAGAATCTCCTCAGGGATAAATTTAAGCTGGGATCCTGGACGGAGGAGCTGAACTCGGGACAAGCCACTCACTGAAGTCAAGAGTTAGCATTGTAACCATGGGGTCCCTCTGGGAGGAACTCGAACAGCCCATCCCACCCCATTCCTGGCTGTATTTGGGGAATAGAAGGATGATGATGAGGGTCCCAACACCCCTTTCACCAAACCCACACACTTACCAGCCTCTAATCTCCCAATGTTGATCAGGGCAAAATCATATTCACTGCTCAGGGGCGTATCCTGGAGGAAGCACATAAGCGCTACAGCAGACATCTGTAGTAACCCTTGTCTTCCCTAATTTGGTGGTCCCCACCCACTCTAGGAGGCAATGCCCCTAGAAATAACCCCTATTGGCTATCACTTATACATTCAAAAGACACACCTTAATCCATAACTCGTCTAAATTCTTCTAGACTCCCCTACCCATTTAACTCTCAGCTGTTTGTTCTGTTGTCCTAGACATCTCACCTGACTCCGCTGCCATCCATAGGGCTGGAAGGTGACCCTAAAGTTAGTACAGATCAGGGTTCCAGACAGTTCAGGTTCTAGCCCTTTCCTCAGTCCTGGGGCCCATGCTAGGATCTGTTCCCCTAAAAGGGAAGAAGGGAAGCCTGGTTATGACTAGCCTTAATGTTACTTGGCACATAGTAAATGAGAAAAGGAGGAATGGTCAAGAAAACAGGATGGGTCTGGGGATAGAGCTAAGTGGCAGTGCCTGCAATAGAAGAAAGACAGAAAACAGGGAATAGCAAGGTCTAAGCTCTCAACCAGATAGGGACAGAGGGAAAAAAGGATGCCTCAGACAGAAGCACTTTGAGACAGGAAAGGAACTCAGAGGTATCTTTGGTGAGGCTGTGAAACAAAGTTGAGGAGGATGAAATTTGGAGGTGTCTTTGGAAATCAGGTCATTACCTGGGAGGCATCCAGAGGCCAGGCAACTGCCAAGCTGACGACTCCTGGGCTCAGGCATCCTACTTCCCTGGACAGACTTTGGTCCCAACTGTTGAGAAGGGTGTAGGGTTAATGCTGGGCCTCCCCAACTCTGGGGTCTAGAATTATCTCAGCAACTGCCTTTGAAGGCTTCTGTACCCAGACTCATGGGGAAACTGAGCTCTGCTGTGGGGAACTCAGGATTGGGGTTGGCAGGCAGTAAAGGGAGGGGCTGGTTAATGGATAATGAGACCACGAACACGAGACTGTGTAAAAGGCAGATCAAGCTCCATCAACCAAAGTTGATATGACAGACACACCCTCTTCCTCTAGATCCTTTTCTTCCCCTCCGTATCTCCACTGCATCCCCATTCACACTCTTGCCAAACCCCCAATCCTCCTTACCCTCATCTCTGGCTCCTCCTTCTGGGGGGCAATGTTGAAACTCTGGCCCCGACCCCCCCACCACATTTCTCTGGCTCCATCCGGGGATGAAGCAGTTAAGGGTGGGAAACCTTAAGGATGCTCAGTCCCTCTGGGGAGAAGCTGAATCTTGTAGTTGAGAAGACGGAGGTTAGGAAGAGAAGCAGTGGGGAAGACGGGAAGGAAACGGGCATTTGAGGTGCACAGAGCACAGTTTGGGGTCTTTGGAAAGGTATGTCCAGCCCAGCAAGAGTAGACACCTCGGAAACTTCAGTCGATTCTGGAGAGGGCGGGAGACGGGCCCAGCCCCTTAAAGGAGAATGCACACAATTTTGGAGAAGAGAGGAAATGGAGGAGTCTGAGAAAGATGAGAGGAATAGAAAAGAGAGAAAAATGCCGAGACCCCCTTCTTTACCCCAAGCCCACATCCTATTGTCTTTCTGTTCATGAGTATTAGAGATGTTTAAGGGGGGGGGGGAGGCTGTAATACTGATTACTGGAATGACTTGGGCTATGTCTTCGGACTCTTCCAGGGAGGACTTTCCTAGGAAGCTCAGTTTTGTTTGGCTTCTTAAAGGGCACAAAAGGATAGGGATGCAGAGTAGTTCAGATCTGCCTACTGCCTTCTCTGACAAATCTAACACAAATGGTTGTGAAGAAGTAAATGGAAAACTGGATCTCAGATTTTGTCAGGAAAGGTTCAAGAATTGGGGAAAGGGCTGGTAACAATTTTTGTTCATCCTGCAGAGTACCTGAAACATGCCTCAGTAAAGAGATCAGAGGAGAAGGGAGGAAGTTGAGATGTGTCCAGGATGCAGACACGTTGCAGGTACATTTGTGTGCATGTCTTTCGAGTGGGGCTGGGAGGCCAAAAAGAAGCCCTTACACTTAAACCTTGACCATAAAAGCCACTAGGCGTACCTCTCCACTCAGGCTCCAACTAAATGGCAGTAAATCCCCAGCTCAGATACGTGACTCCACCCCTTCAGCCCAGACACCAGATCTCCAAATGAATGATTCATGTTCAGGGCTTTCAAACCTGAGGCTGGAAACTTTCAGTACAAGATCACAGCCCCCCTCCTTCCCTGCTGCAACCCAAGAAGCCAAGATGGTGGGGGAGGTCTAGAAACAAGTAGAGGAGATGCAGCCGAGGGTCACTTGGGAAAAGCAATGCAAAACTGTTTATTATGAAAAAGACAGGAAATAAAATACAAAATAACAGTTTAATGAGCCGCTGTTTTATTGTTTTTTGACTCTGTACAGAGGCAGCAATCCTTAGGTGGGGGCTCCAGTTTTCCAAACTGACATTCAACTCTCCCCCTCCCCGCAGCACACATACCCTTCTGGCCTCGGCTTTAATAAAATTTCCCTGTCTTGGCTGCAACTATGGAAATAGTGAAGATATTGTGAGACAGGGAGTCAGTCTGGAACAAAAAAGTATACACCTGCCAGGAAAGGGGCCCATAAGTCTAATTCTAGAAGTTCTAAAAGCTACTGAGCACCACCACCCCACCTCACACCCCTGTACCCAATTCACGGACCTCAACCTCTCCGGGAAAGAAAATACTTCCCAAACTCTGTTGTAAATAAGAAAACAAAGCATAGGAAGTGGTGTGTACCACAATTTTAAAATCCCATTATCTATTTCTCACTACTCTTCATTCAAGAGCAACATTCTGTTCTTTAATACTTTTGAGGTATGGGAGCAGCAAAGGAATAGAGAGAGAGAAAAAAAAAAAACATCAGGGGGAATGGGTGGGGGGATTGGAGAGAAATAAATTGGATGATTTGGATCAGCACCTAACCAGGAATGCAAAGGGGGGCAGTAGCTGATTATTAACAGGACCACTTTTCACTACCCCCAACACAAACCCGGTAGAAGTTCACTGGATAAAAAGGAGGGTGGAGAAGCAAGAGGCTGTATCAGATTTTTCCATTTTCAGAATCCTGCTCTGGTTGCAGGTTTGTGCCAGGAGTGAAAGCTGATTGGGAGGGGCAGTTGGAGGAGGGAGGTGGAGCTGAGTGACTCACAAGATGAGTCACAGATCCAGTTATAAACATAAAAAGAGGCCAAGGTCCTTCCCACCCCCACTCCTCTTAGCCAGTTTCCCTTGCTCCTTTTTACTGTCCCTTACCCATGTGTCCAAAAAAGGAAGGTGGCACAGAGAAAGTCTACATGGGGGCATCATAATAAATATTTTGTTAATCAACTTAAGTACAGGGGGCAAAACGCCCTATGATTTACAGACTGATCAGCTGCAAAGAGACAGAGTGCCTGTATGACTCACTGAATCTGCAGTTGAAGAGCCTGGAGGGAAAGAAGGAAATTAGAAAAATCTGGGGTGCAGGTGGTTACAGGCAGGGAAGGGGCTTCTAATTCTGGCTCTCACTAGTGGCTGTATGTCGGGGGCACTGCCTCCTTGGAGAAAGAAGAGGACAAAAGAATCCAGAGGTATCTGAGTAATTCAGGGATAATCATCTCTGAAATGCTCCTGTTTTAAGAGGAAAAAAAGTGCCTGGAACTTTGGACATGTGGCTAAAAGGAGTCAGAACAGCAAAAGCTAGGTTCTCAGAAGTCAGCTCCAATTCTTTCTGGCTCCAAAATATACAATATGCTCCAAAATACACATTGCTAATTTTTGTGTGTTGGTCTGAGCTTCAGTTTTGCTTTGAGAAGATGAGAGCCAACAGGAGGGAAGATACTTCCATTCAAAATCCCTGCACAGTGCTGAGTTTAACGCCACCCTCTACTCCTTAAAAAGACTGAATCTTAAAA